TTATAAATTATCAAGGGTTCAGGGTGGAGGGGAGAGCGGGGAGGGAGGGGAAAAATGAGGAGCTGATACCAAGGGCTCAAGTAGAAAGCAGGTGTTTTGAGAATGATGATGGCAACATTTGTACAAATGTGCTTGACACAATTGATGTATGTATGGATTGTGGTAAGAGTTGTATGAGCCCTAATAAAATGATAAAAAAATAAAAATAAATAAAATGGGGACAGTAACAGTTATCTATCCTATCAGTGTTATTATGAGTCATAGTCTCAGAGGACACCAAGGCTAACTGGAATAAACAGTTCACAAAGACAGTATTTTATATCCTAATTTGATGAGTAGAGATTGGGGTCTCAAAAAGACAAAAGCAATGGTGCTACTATTGGTCTCACCCCATCCAGAGGAAATGATGATGATAAGTCACCCGGCAAGTCTGGATCTGAACTCACCCTTGTGTTAGAACATCAACCATTTAAGATAAAACAGGCAGCCTAGAATGATGAGGGCAATCAATGTACAAATGTGCTTGAGAGAAAAAAAAGGCAGCCTACACCCAAGGCTCTAGTATAGAAAGGCAAGAAAGGCGAGTGGAAACAGGAAACACAGAAGTGGGATACCTAATGGATGAGTTACAATGGAGTACAATGGATGAGTTCAAACAAAATGTGTATGAACTGTCAAATGTAAAACTGACAGCGTCCTGTGTAAACCTTCATCTAATTCTTGATTTAAAAGTTTTTAAATAGGGAAATTAATTGAGTTAAATACATGTAAAAAACTAAAGAAGTTGTGGTACATATTAAGTTGGTATATTACTGCAGTCATGATGACTAAAATGCTTATAAATGTTAACTGATATACTATTTTTTAAAATTTTGAATTGAAATAACTTATTTTCGCATATAATTCATATATTCACTGTAAAAGTCACTCTTTTTAAGGTCCATGTCAGAGATTTCTAATATATTACAATAATGTACAACTATCACTAATTCAAAAAACATCAACCTAAAAAGAAATTCCGAGTCTATTAGTAGCCATTTCCCACTCCTTTCTCTCCTATTTCCTCTCCAACTCCTGGCAACCACTAATGTCCTTTCTTGTCTCTATGGATTTCACTATTTTGACCCTCTCATATATACACTGATACATGGCCTTTTAGTTTAGTTTCTTTCACTTACCATAATGGTTTCAAGATTCATCCACGTTGTAGTATGTATCAGCACTTCAATTCTTTTTATGGCTATACTACAATTTGTTTATTCACGTATCACTAGATGGCTATCAGTTTGCTTCATTTTTTAGCTACTATGAATAATGTGCTATGAACATATATGTACAAGTTTATGTGTGAACATACTATTTTCAGTTCTCTTGGGAGAAAATAATTAAGAGGAGAATCACTGGATCAAAAGGTCGATAACTCTACTTGTAACTCCCTAAGGAAATGCTAAACTATTTGGCAAAGCTTCTATTTTTATAAAAATGAACTATTATTCAACACCTTATCTTTGTGCTATGGCTTTTTGATAACACTATAATAGAACTGTGATATGTTACAATTTCTCTAATTCAACAAAAGCTAGTCTCAATTATAGAAAATGAGCTAAGGTAAGAAGACATCAGCACTAAACATCAAAAAAACCGTGTTAAAACCTAGAGAGAAAACAAAGTTTTCTAAAGAAAATAGAGACTTAAAGTTTATTTGTGAGATATACAAAAAAGGGTTTTCATAAATTTTTCAAAATTTTTGAAAATGTTCAACCACTTATGGTGATTAAGCTGAATTTGAATGATATGTATAATACAAAAGATGTGAATGATTTTCATAATTAAAGTGACTGTTTCAAAAAAAGGGAAAATGATGGACAAAGATTAAACCAAGCCTAGTTTCTAAAACAAAGTAAAAACTCAACAAGAAAAGCGTATAGCCAAAGCACTTAATGTAAAAATACCTTATCCTCATTACTATAAGAAGCAAAATAAAGACAACTGCTTTTACCATTTCATATGTAATATTGGCTATACAAAAGTATTTGTGTAATAAAAAGAATGCATATAAAACACTTCTGTAAAATGTTAAATGTCAGACTACTCACCTATATAGACTCTCTTGCTGTATCTCTGCATTAGTAACAACACAAATACATGCAGTGGGATAAGGTTGATGATGAACACATAACCACCCCAAGCAGAAACCTGTAGGGGGAAAAAGCTAAGGTAAATAGCTTATATTTTTATAGTTAAGATTTTCTTGTCATGACAATCTCAACATGCAGCAAATACAAGACACTGAGAATTTTAGTAATTTTGAGTAATGTTTAGACGTAAACTTTAACAGTACTTAACAGCCTAATTATAACTTTTATTGAAGATCAACTGAACTAGCAAGATCCTATATATCCACTATTTTCATACACAAAGTAGACATTTTTCAAATGAGATTAATTTATTAAAGTTAAAATATTATAACTTGTGAATTGGCTTAAAATATTTTAAATATAAAAATGTTTTTTAAGTCAACTACTTTTTGATTATGTTGCAAGAAAGGTTAGAGAATAACAATGTTAGCACCCACCAAAAGCTCAACCAAAAGAAATGTTCAGATGCGTCCAAGTCTAATTTTATTCCCTACAAATATGTAACAAAGTAAGACCCAATTTTAATGTTTTCTGGACTATAAAGTTAGGATAATATTATTTAACCAGAGTAAGTGAAGAAATGCTAGTAACTAATAAAAGATTAAAAAGAAAATATCCCATTTTCACACACACACAAAAATCACATCAATTTTTTGGAGTATCTAATAAAAGACATTAAGGTCTTGCCATTTACAATGTTCTTGGATGTGCTCTGTACATTAACTTTGAAAGAACCACTACACCAATAATCATTTTAAGAAATTTATACGTATACCATATTCTAATAAAGCGATTCTTATGTACAATGTTTCAGACTCATAAAGATCTAACTTTTTAAATACACATAACATTAATTTACTATTAGTCACATGCGATTTCACCAAAAATCAATATTAACCTAATAATCCTCATAGTACAACTGTTCCCCCCCAGCCCCCCAACCCCCGCGAAATTTAAGTCTTTTAAGAGGATGGGGTTTGCTATTACTGAATATAACAGCATAATATGTGTCCCAGGTTCTAAAAATCTTTTAAGGATTATAATATGGACACATAAATTCTTAATCGTTTACAAGAAACCATTGACTAAGAATTATTATTAATTTTCAGTGTTAGATTACTATATGTAAGCTGTGCCATGCGAGGAAGACAGAAGGAAGAGATAATATGGAATCTAACCTTAAGCAATCTGTTGCAAAAATTATGTCAGTGATTTACAAGCTAACCTGGAGGATGTGATGACTATCTTAGGTAATGATAAAGAAACCCTAGAATTCTAAAGATTGAGCACTAACTTCAATATGCTGCTGATTTTATGTACAATCTTTTATAATATGGTACAATTTTCTTATTTCTTTTATTTCTGTCCTATAACTGGTGAGTCCATTCTGATTCATGGTGGCCCCAGGCATGTCAGAGTACAACAGAGGTTTTCAATACCTGCTCTGGGTACACTCAGGCTGCCAGCCTTTAAACTAGCAGCCAGGCACACTGACTACCACCAGGGGCTCCTCCTGTTCTATACAAATTCATTTGAAGGGGTTTTCTTCATTATTTTAAGGAACAGAAAAAAGTAAAAATGGTGCTAGAAGAACACTATTTCTACAACTTTCTCATTTCTTCCATCTCTTTAATCTTTATTTGGGTTACTGTTATTTTCATAAGGCTTGTAAAAGCTCAAATTTTTCTGTTCTAGGTTTACTTCACTAAATTGAGATTGATTATAAAAAGCACATTACTTTACTAAGTAACTATTTAATTCAATTCTAATACTGTAAAACAAATTTTTAGTGTATTATTTAAAATTATCTAACTGTTAAGCAATTTATGTCTAAACATCCATTAAAAAGTTACTAACAATATTACGAAAGTTCTACATTTCCAATGTAGAAATACTTATCAGAATCTCCTCAGTAGTGTCCACAGGACCCAGGGTGTGGAGACTGAGGGTGTAGGTGGGCATAGAACATATGACACAAAATCAAAGTCATAAGACTTTAAAAGAAGTGGAGAACATGCCCTGGGTAAGATAGGAAGGAGAAGGAAGAGGAAATACTCCAACTGACAGGACCAACACCTGTTGGATCTCATGTAGTTTGAAATATGAAAACTTACCATATAGAAATAAGATAAGCAGCAGCACACTGTCCAAAACACTGATCCAGTTTTTACAGATTTTACCTAAAAACAAAAATAATTAAGTAAAAAAAGCAGCTGATATGTTTATAAATGCTTCTGAAGTTTTTTTTTAAAAAGCTAAATATTTAGTAAACAAGCTATAAAAAGCCAAAGTTATTTATTATTTAAAGACTCTTATGGTGAAAGCGTTATAGAAAGCAAAAAAATCCACATCTTAGTAGACATTTGTTCAGTAAGTCTACACTTGCTTAGGTGGCTACACAGCACAGTAATCTATAATTTTTTTCCAACGGACTATTTTATCATGTAACTCATGTATATTTTTCTATGAACACACATTCAGAAAATGTTTTTATCACTACCTTTAGAAGTTTGCAGACACAATAAACGAGATTAAAATTCCTAAAATAATTACTATAAGTAAAATCCTCAATTTATTCTGACCTAAAGATAATTTTAACCAACGAAAATTAAAAATCGACTAATTTTTATTTCCTTAAGAAGATTAAATAAATTAAAAATAAAATCTTATATGCTTAAGTGTAAAAAACAAAGCATGTTCGATGTTTCAGAAAAAGAAATTTTAAATGTCAAAAACACAAGGTCCAAACACTAAGGTCAATAGAAAGGGTCATCTTTAAAATAATTCAAGTGGAGGGTCCTAAAAAAACAAGATATAAATCCCAATACAATCACTTCTGTATTAAAAGATCTGTCCTTAAACATTCACTAAACTTGTGACATTCAGGCAACTTTACCTCTGAGACCCAATTAGGAGTCCTAAATTATAAATCTTTATGGAGCAGACCAAACCTCATCTTTCTCCTGAGGAACAGCTGGTGGGTGGAAGTTTAAATTTAACAATGTCTTAGAATGCTGTTTCCAAGTCAAGTCTATAGTTTTAAAATGGGACTCTACTACAACGAGACCATTAAAACAAATTGCAGGGGGTATTCAAATTTTGGGGGGAAAGTACTGTAGAACAAACTAACAAAAAAAAAAACCAATGAAAAAGAGGGACAGAAACAAAGAAAAGTACACTCCGAGTTTCCAGGACTTAAAAATATGTGGAAAGCTGACTTCCTTTAGACTAGTGGAAGTCAGCTTTGAATCCAGTATCACAGTGTGTTCTCCCTCTTCTCTAAAATGTAACCACTCCTCCCTAATTTTGAAAAGAAAAGTTAAAGATTACCTTTAACCTGGAGAAATAAGGTAGAGGTGAAGAGAGTAGCTGACATAATAAAATTTCCCAAAGTTTTTTTAAGTGAGAAGTTTCCACCAGGGCAGATTAAGGATTATTCCTATTTTATCTACCGTGAGAGAGCAGAAGACTAAGAGCTACATGGTTTTGCCCAGACTGTATCCACAAGACAGAGAAAAGGAACGGGTATTTTAAAGAAGGCGGGTAGGTATGTTCCAAAAGGCTGAAAGAAATCGTGTTTGCAGACAGTGAGATGGGCAGTCAAAGCAACCCCAGGGACGAGGAAAGCAATGTTCTACCCACTGCCATCCAGTTGATTCCAACCCCTGGAGACCCTCCCACAACTGTAAAGTTTTATAACCTTTTTATTGCTATGTAATTCACACAGCACACAATTTAATCACTTAATCATATTAGGGAGAGTTAGCATATCATCAGCACAATCAATTTCAGCACAACTTTCTTCTCACACTTGATAGTAACTTTCCATTTCTCCACAACCTCCCCTTGCTATGCCGCTAGATAATTATTAATCCAGGTACTGCCTCTATAAATTTACCTATCTGAATTTCATAGGCAGGAAATCCTATCACATACACACACACACAACCCAACAATGACAAAACAGAAAA